ATAGAAACCTGTTCATTTTTACATTTGCTTGTAGAACTTGTGACCTTATAGTTATGAGCAGGACAGATGAAGTGATTGCCACAACTTCTTCAGAGAGGACTGTCTTTAATGAACTACTCTCTCTATCGGTATCACTCTTTCTCCTGAAATCCTCTGCTTGTGTCTAAGTTCACCTTCTATGATGACAGTTTATCAGACTGGTTTTATCCTAGACCTCTTTATAAACCCTCCTGATAAGCCAACTCCAAAAGCCTCTGGCTCTGGTTTTATCATTGGCAAAAAAAATGTTGTGTTTGTAAAAGTCTTCATAGTTTAATAGTGACGTCTTCATTCCCTACATTCACATGACTGCTGACTCTGTAACGAACCTACATTAAAGGCAATTCCTTAGCATTTTCACAGTAGATAGCAGAGATTCTATTAACTAATTCTTCACCAAAAAAGCAGAGTGAGCATAGAGTTCTAATACATCTGTCTCAAAGTGAGTGGAAGGATAACAGGCTGCAGTGTTGTATAGCTCTATTAATTTAGGCCTCGCCAATTCCGAGTTGATGACTTGTGAAGTTACACATCAAGGGAACAATGGACATTATTATTGCATAAATTGGTAAGGGTTTGAAATGTTCAATGCTGAAGAATGCCTCAAAAACCACCCACAATGATGTCATATGGACTTGATGGCCAAACAGCTTTGGGTCTCAAGGAAGTCTTCTTCACACTGTGCAACAATATCTAAAAACGTAACCTGCAATAAACATGCAACAAATTACTTCTTATTCAAACCCAGAGCCTCTTCCGGTTAGACCGACAAGTGGTTCTCCTCTACTACACTAGACCCTGAACTTCCCTACTGAAAGATGGTGGCAGCAAGCCGACACGGTGAAGTGCAGACTTAGTTTACCTGCACTACAACAAGTATGAGATTCAATAAGAAATAGTGAAGAAGGCATTCTATTCAGTTACATCTTTTGTGTAACAGTAGAGTTTAGTTTACAATCAGAAGGGTCCCACTAGGATGCAACACAGGCCCCTTCAAAGAAAACAGAAGATGGGGCAAGATCACTGATTCCAGTGTGTAATGAGGATACTACACTTTTGCACTATGGGTAATATTACTGAATAACTACGCAGTTTGACATAAAATATATTATTCCCATAACAGAGAAAAGATCATAGAATCATAGAATTCCTACATTGTGGAAACAGGCCATTCAGCCCATCGAGTCCACACCAACCCTCTGAGGAGCATCCCACCCAGACCCACCCCCCAATCCTGTAACTCTGCATTTCCAATGGCTAATCCACCTAGCCTGCACATCTTTAGACCGTGGGAAGAAACCAGAGCATCCAGAGGAAAACCACGTAGACGCGAGGAGAATGTGCAAACTCCACACACAGTCAGTCAGTCACCTGGGTCCCTGGTGTTGTGAGGCAGCAGTGTTAATCACTGAGCTACCATGCTGCCCTATTGGAGGTGGAATCCATTTTAGAAAGAAATTGGCAATGTGGAACCTGAGGCAACATCTTGTGTAAACCTTTAACTTTGCATCAGGGACAGCTGAGTCACTGGCTCCCCTCACAATCATAGAATCATAGAAAGCTAAACTCAAAGAAAGACATTCAGTCTATCACAGTCTTGCTGTGACGTAATCCCATTTGCTGCTCTTTCCTTAAGCCACTTAACATTTTTCTTCTGCGCAATCATCTCGTTCTCTGCCAAATGTGAGCAGCTACTTGCGGCTATACATTCCATATTTTAATAGCTGTGCCCTTGGCATGATCTAATAGCACCAAAACTAATCAAAAAAAAGTTAAAACCAATGTCAAATATTCACAATAAAGACAAATCAATACCAGAAATACATTGCGAACCAGTGACAAAAAAGGTACAGGAAAAGTCTGTCTTATAAAATCTCAGCACTTTCTACGAAATATGAAATTTGAGTCTGAAAGAAAATCATCAGGGAAATAATCAAAAGTGCCTGTGCTCATACTGAATTAAATTTGTGGTAATTAAATAAATCTGGAATAAAGGGTTAGTAAAGGCGACCAGGAAACTACAGGGTTGAAATAAATAACCCATTTGGTTCAACAGGGAAAATCTAGCATTCTTACCAGGTTTGACTTTTGTACCATTCCACACCCACAGAGCGTGGCTCACTCTGAACTGTCCTCTGAAGCCAGCCTAACAAGCCATTCAGTTTCACAAGGATGGGCATAAATGTTGGCCTCGCTAGTGACACGTACACACTGTGAATGTGCAATCTAATGAAAGCAGTTTAAATCCTGCAGCTGATAAATCTTAAATCGCTCCGTCTGGCTGCAATTCACTTCCCCCCCCCCCCAACCCCAAGTCCAATCTTGTACAACTACTGTTGCTTCAGGCTAGCCTCATGTTTGGAGACAAACTGACCCACAACATACAGCCTATCACCATGGCAATATCAGTACGAAGGGTGAAATAAATCGCAAGTAATTGCCATCAGTCATCCTCAGATTGAAATTTCCACTCCAATACAAACTAACTCTTGACATTCAGGCATGAGCAAAGTAACACAAGAATAATATTTACAATGGATAGGGTGTGGAGAAATGCTTTGGTCACTGTGCAATTAAGTAAAAATTTATTCAAAGGAGAATGCACTTGTTAGTGGTTTCACTACACAAAGTAAGGCTTCCCCCAAGGGCAGCTGCATAGTACTTCTGAAATGTTTCACAGGAATGTATGTAGCTCAAGTGAGTGACAATATGTTTAAAATCTCACTAGCTCCAGTGATTACAAATCCAGAACCAGCCACTTCCCCTGGGTTTTGAGAGGTGGAGGCTGAGAAAAAAATAACAAACCACTCTCAGCAAATGAGTAAAACAATCAATAGTGTAATTTCCTACTGTATTCAAAGCTTTTGTTTTTGACATGGAAAGTATTTGTTGTCTCAGATCATGCATTAACAGTTGAAGATTTGGAAACATGTAAGTGATTTTGAAAAAAATTAATGTTTCTAGCCTAATTCTGTAAAATCCAAACTCTCCCTCTGCCCCAAAATATCTTTCTCAACTCTGAACATAGACACAATTACTTTCAACCCACTGATCTGAAATTAATCATTTAAATCCTGGTTCAGCCATTACTATATTATAAGCAACATACCCCAATGAGATACAAAAAGACTATTTCACATCATTTCCTAGCCTCATTCTTAAATAATAACTTTTGTATTTAGACAAAAAAGGATGTTGTATTCTTGTAACATGACAGAAATTGCTTGTGAAACTCAGCAGGTCTGGCAGCATCAGTTGCGAGGAAACAGAGTCAATGTTTCGAGCCTGGTGACTCCAGAGTTCTGATGAAGAGTCACTGGCCTCAAAACATTAGCTCTGCTATCTCCCAACAGATGTTGCCAGACATGCTGAGTTTCACCAGCAACTTGTCTTTGTTTCAGATCTCCAGTTCTTTGTTTTATTTATATTCTTGTTTTTTTTTTGTTTTCCTTAACACAAAATGGTCACCTACTGGATTAGTAAGTAGCACATGTTCAATTGATTTGAAACCCTCAAACAGGTTTATTTAACAAATAAATCAACATCTTGCACTTACAGAGCAATTCATACACAAAAGCTTCTGGTTGGACTCCTCAAAGCTGCTGCTTATTTGGGGACATCCAGGTCCTTGATTCCTGAGCACAGTTATCTCTTAAAGCAGTAGCATAGTCAGTGCCATGATAAAGAAGCAGTTCATGACTTCAATGATCAGCTGAATCTCAATTTGTGCACCCAAATATGATGTATAACAAACAAGCAAAGATTGGTCATGGCATTGTCCTAATTAGGGACAATATCTTGATAAGAAATCTTATATATGTCACTGCTATTGAGTTTGAGTTTTAAGGAGAGGCTGGGACTTTTTTTCCCCACTGGAGTGTAAGAGGCTGAGGGGTGACCATATAGAGGTTTATAAAATCATGAGGGGCAGGGATACGGTGAAATACCAAGGGTCTTTTCTCTAGAATAGGGGAGTTCAAAACTAGGGGGCATATTTTTAAGGGGAGAGGAGAAAAATTTAAAAAGGACGAGGCAACTTTTTTTTTAAAACACAGAGTGTGGTTCGTGTGTGGAATGAAGTGCTGGATATGCATACAGTAACAACATTTAAAAAACATTTGGATAAATACATGAATAGGAAAGATTTGGAGAATATGGGCCAAATGCAGGCAAGTAGGACTAGTTTAGTTTGGGAACACGGTCAGTCTTGACTAGTTGGACTGAAGGATCACTTTCCATGCTGTATCACACTACGACTCTATCTGCTACTTTCATTTGGTTCAGAATGTAAACCCAGGAAACAAGAATAGATGCATCTCATTTATACTCTTATCCATCAGTGTGAAACTCCTGCAAGACATTTATACACAAACAAACCCTCTGCTTCCTCTCTATTCCTCTCCCACTGGTATTCAGTGGGTAATGTGTGGAGGTGAATGAGGAATATAGGCTGCATTAACTTTACATTAGTCACAACATGGAGAAGGAAATTCCCAATAAAAGGATTTATTTACTCAGGAACAGGAGTCTTTACACCAGACCATTGGGAGATACATTCAGAAGGACTACCATCTGTTTCAAGCACATGCTTAGGATGCCTAACTAAAACTTGGGCCCATGAATTTAGTAGCAGGATCAACTCCTGTGCAGATTGGGCTGGGCCACCTCACTCCCAAATTCTAGCTTTATGCTTGTTTTATGCCACAGAAATATCAATTTCTACTAGTAAGTAGATTACATAAAAAACATGCAAAAAACCAACACAGACTGAAAAAGACAAAGACAAGGACAGAGTGTGTAGAATCATCAAGGTGTAGAACATTGCACCTTAAGAGTGCACTGCACTGTTCACTACAATGTGCTTACTCAATTCCTGAAAGATTTTTTGAACTGACTGACCTGTACCAGGTTTACTCAAACCATACACAGGGAGAATAACCCGTATCTGGAATTATACTTACAAGCGAAATACTGCCAAGGGGAGTAGGCTTCTCCAAAGTCTGTAGATCGCTCAAGAACCCAAAGATCTGGCCGCGGAGAATTTGCAAACTTGATGAGCACATATGCCACATGAAAGAGCTGTGAAAAGATAATTTATTTATATGTTTAGAAAGACAGGTTCTGGATAGTACCAGTTTGTCATCATCACGCAGTTATGATGTTTATATGCACTGACTTGGGTTAACATTGATAGACTGAATCTTCTCGTGAGCATGTACTGTAATTTCCTACCAGATTCTGTCAGCTGGAGTTTCTCATTCTAGCTTCCACAGGTTCGGATATACAACCCATTAAAAGCATATGCAGTCAGGTTGGAAATGTAAAACAACACGAACCTCAGAGTTCAGATACATTCTGGAAAACGCCCAAGCTGTTCCAATTGGAAGAACATTCACCTTTCCCCAACAAGATGAAAACTGGGCAATGTCTAAAACAGATAAGTGATCCATTCCATCAGACTGATGTCCCTGTTGTTGAAGGTGAAAGTTACTCCCATCATCTTTTACTTAAAAGTGGCAGCCAGACAAAAGACACTAAACACTCTGCACATTCACTGCAAATTATACATAACAATGCACAATCCCACAAGGTACAAGTAATTCTTTATGTTATTTCACTTTTCTAGTGTCTTTCACCAAAAAGACAATGACTTCTGTATGGCACAGTTCTGCAGCACCAGCTACTCATCTGCCCAAACAGACTAACACCCGTGTCTTATCATTGATTCATGTGCAGTCCCTAATCTTGATCGTAGGAGACATTTTATCTCATTTTTTTTGGAAACAGTTATCTATGTTTCTAATTTAAAAAGACAAAACTGGAAACAAACAGACTACAAGGTTAAGTATGAAAACAAGCATTTTGTGGGAGTCTTGTTTTTTTCACTTGAGTAATAGCATTGTGTCTCACTTAATATACTGCATTGTTAGAAAAGTGGTTCTTGTTACGAATGTTGCCAACATCTGCCTTAGATGGAGTATATGGGTCATTCATAGAATCCCTACAGTATGGAAACAGGCCATTCGGCCCAACCAGTCCACACTGATACTCTGAAAAGCATCCCACCCAGACTCATTCCCTACCCTATCCCTTGTAACCTTGCATTTCCCATGGCTAATTCACCTAACCTGCACATCCCTAAACACTACGGGCAATTCAGCATGGCCAGTCCACCTAGTCTGCACATCTTTGGACTGTGGGACTATTGTAATGTGAGAATGCATTGTTGTAGAACCACACAGTATGGCCATTAGCCATCCACTATATACAGACATGGCGATTGGCAAGAAATTCAAAATGAAAGTTTATCTGATTTATTTCCTTTCCTAACAAAACGGTGACCAGTTACTGGGTTGCTACACTTTATTTCAGCTGTGTTCAACTCAGACAGCACAAACTGGATTTCCAGGCCCTTTTAGCTCTGAAGATGCCATATCAGACTCGAAACATTAACTCTTTCTCTCTCCACAGATGTTGCCAGACCTGCTGAGCTTCTCCAGCATTTCCTGTGTCTCCTTTTTGATCAGTTTAGCTGAGTCCCAGGTTCAGTGAATGCTCTAATCTACTGACTATCCAAGCGCCCATATTCCTCCCTTTTAATGGATAGCTTTTAAAAAAAACGGTGCTACTCCTCCACTGTTCAACCTATTTTTTTCTTCTCCCTGCTCACTTAGGCCTGTCTTCTCTCCACAGCTTTGTAAGCTCCATTCCTGCATTTCCCTGGTTCACTCAGGCGATTCCAGCGTCTCAACACCCCCCAGGCCCAGCTAACTTCGGCTGTCTCTTTCTGCATTCTTTCTCAACACACCAGTATAGGTCTGTGTGTCAGTGTAGTAGTCAGACTGCAGAGACAAGGAGCTCTTTCTGGGAAGTGGAGTAAGCTTGGGGAGACAACCTCTATCAACTAAATCCTGGGAATAACTAACACTCATTCACATTTTGTAGTGAAATAATGACTTTCAATGTATAATGGACCTTGACAAAAATTAATCATTTCTAAAATTTTAACTTGGTCTCTGTTTACCTCCTGGCCTTAACACTGGAAAGATATTTCAATCTGGAACCATTACTCATTGCTCACTTCTAGTTTTTAAATGGAACCTTTTCTTTCTCCCGCAACATATTCTCACTCCTCTTTAGATACAACTCTTGCTCTGCTTGTTCATCATTTTCTATTTTGTAGAATGTTTGAATTGGGATTGCAATTTTCGGTTCCTTCACCGTGGTATTGAATTAAGAAGGGGATCTTCTGTTCCCTTAATCCTGCTATCAAACTGTTACTGCATGTTCATTCCTTCATTGTAGGATAATCCCCATTTATTCTTCTTTCAAACCATAACTCTGTCAAATTCCACATTCCATTTACACTCTACAATATCCGCTACTACCTCAGATTCACACCCCACTCCAAATATTCACTACAAAACCTTTCATTGCACAACAAATCCCTATGTAAAGAAATCCTTTTTAATCTGTATCCTCATTTTTTATTTAGCAACTATCTTAGACTGATCATTCACCAGTTTCTCTTCAATGCAAGGAATTAATCTTGACTTCCCTCACCCCATTTACTCCATCAAAATCTTTCATGATTTTAACTAAAGTTACATTATATCACCTGTTCATCCTGCTCCAGTGGAAATAGTGCCAGTATTGCAAGGTTTTCCTCAGATCAACATATAAACAGGGAGAACTAGGGCCATTCAGTCCAGCAAGCTAGCACTGCCATTCAATAAACTCATGGCTCATCTGATTGTAATCTCAAATTTGCATTCTTACCTACCCAGATAGCTTTTCACCTTACTGCTTATTAAGAATGAATTGTCTCGTTTTATAGTCAAGGACTCTGTTTTCACCACTTTTCAGGAAGAGAATTCTAAAGCCTTGTGACCCTCAGAAGAAATTTCACCTCAGCTCCGTTTTAAATGGCAGTCCTTGATTTTTAAAACAGTGACCACCCACCCCAGTTCTGGACTCTCCCACGAGATGAAACATCCTTCCTCCATCCACTCTATCAAGAGCTTTCTGAATCTTATATGATTCAATCAACACACTCACTCTTCTAAAATCCAGCAGATACAAGCCTAGTCAACTGAATCTTTCCTCATAAGACAATCCAGATGTCAGTAGGGTAAACATTCCTACCACCGCTTCCAAAGTATTTACAGTTATCCACTTACAATTTTCGATCCTTGATATAATCCTTGTGAATTCACACAGTGTAACATTTACTGTTTGAATGTCCCTTCTATAGTAGGGTACTTAATTCTGTGCGTGTACTCTTGCATGTCTGACCAATGAGTTCTACAAATTTCTCATGTCTTCCTTATTTTTGAGAGTCACGTCCCTACTGATGAAACCCAAAATGCTACTGGCCTTTTCTAATACACTTTATCATCACTCATACCTTCACAGAATTAGATATCAAACCCCTACGTCCTGTCATTCACGCGACATCTATCTGTAACATTCATTTGAATGGATCAGCCCATTCCCCATGCTGAATTTTAACCTAACACACTGGGAGATATAATCATTTAACAGATGCACACGCAGAAACAGGCTGACCAACTTGTTTGTATTTGTCACAGAAGATAATAAGCTCTTGACTTTCCACGTTAAGAATTTCAGAATAGCAGCATGTGTAGATAACGCTGCTCATTCCTTGCATTTCTCCTATTTTCTAACAAGCCATCCTATCCTAGATCTACATTAACAATGCTATTGCTGTGAATGACGCACAGCTTTATCCATTGCTGCGTCTTGCATCTTGCTGTGAAGGCAAAAATGACTCGAGATAAAATCTCAAACAGGCCAATGTTCCCATTGAATCAGCAACCTGATTTCCTAACAGAGCATGTAATTAAGACTTGCGTTGATATAACAGCCCTTATGACTTCAGGCCATTCCAAAATGCTTGAGACAATGGACGGAATTTAAAGCCATCCCCTGCGGCAGTTCTGGTGGCAAACGGGGCATTTAATTAGGTGAAGTTCCACCTCCACGCCAATTAAGTTTGTGGTGGGAAAAACTCATGGTCAGCCTTCCCACCTTGCTGCCAATTAGAGGCCATTAATCAATGCTCACTAAAGGACCTCATCCTGCTGTAAGTAGCATTAACCCAGAAGCAGGCAATGAGCTCACCAAACAGGAGGTTCAACAAGCAAACCTGTGCGCTGGGTTGCTGTTAGGTTCCCTGGGGGTTCTCTTGCAAAGGGACACAATGCCTGATTAAGGGAGCAAGCATCAGGAAGAAAGGAGCCTACTGACAACCTACCTTGCTGCTGCCGTCAGTACTCACTATTATTATGGTATAAATTGAACACTAAGTTCTTGTGACCACACAAAGCAGCTAAAAAAAGAAATTCAGAAGTTGCTGTCTGGGTTTTCCTACACCGCTACCTCGCTGATAGATTTTGTGTTGAACTCAACCGAAAGTGAAAATTAACAGCACTTTTTCACAATTTACCCACCAAACATGCAGAAAAAAGTTAGGTTCATGCTCTTGGGTGCAAGCGTATTTTTAGAAAGTCTCATTTATTGCCAAATAATCTCTCTTGCGCTCTGATTCCTTATCTCTTTGCTATTTCAATCTTTCTTTTCCTCTCTCCATTTCACTTTCTGTACATATAACTTTATAATGAAATAAATGTACTTGTTTAGATTCGGAGGCTGACTCTTCCCAACCCAAAGGTGGGTCAAAATGTATCGAGATGCGAGGCTCAAATCTGGATTCCCAGCATTGGCAATTTTCCCTGGCAATAAGATAATGTGGGTTGGACGGAAGCCTGCATACCTGTGTCCTGGCAGAGCTGACACCTTTGCAAAAGTGGGAAATTTAGACTTTCCACAATTATAGTGCAAGTCGGGTCAGGGAGATCAGAATAAGCCAGGATTTGGAGGCGGGAACCTCTAAAAGACAGGTACAATAAACATTGCCGACCTAACACCACTGTCATATGATGTTGCCTAAGGTCAGTGGGTGGCAATGGCACCATTTTGAAAAGAAAAATTACCCTTAAATAAAATGGTTGTCTGGTTGTTACAGCTGACTGCTGTTCATTATCTGGACAACTTAA